TTTGGGGACTTTTTGATCAATTTCGTTTTTATCATATTCGGCGCTGGGTTGGGTTTCTCCTTGATATTATAATATTGTTAGGGCTTTTATTTGATTTAATATGGATAAAAAGAAGGCAGTGGCACCGCTTGTATGCCATGGGCATTCTCGGCCTGTCGTTGATCTGTTCTACAGCCCAATCACTCCTGATGGATTTTTCCTCATCAGTGCCAGCAAGGGTAATTCTTTTGATCTTTTTTTATGCCTCTTGGTAGTTGTGATAACATATTGAAGCATTGAGTGAATTTGACATAAGTGCGTTACATTGTCTTGATCAAACATTTTCCGGACAGTCATGAATGAGCCGTTTGATTTTGAAGTGTGGTTACATNCCAAGAAGCAGGAATCTAAGAAAAGCCCAAAAGAGATTATTATTCAATCTAAAGGAATTTCTATTGTCATAGAATTCAGAGGGAAAAACTTTGAAAATGTCTGTCTCTTATCAAGTCTAAGTGGTTGCTTTGAAATGCAAACTTGATTTACTTGTAGATGTTATCAAACTCTCGTAATGTAAACCTTAATGCTTTTATTGGCAATCAATTCTATCAAAATATTACTCCGTGTGATGGTTCTAATGTAGGCGCGGGCATGGCATACATTATCATCTAAGTACTTTGTATGCCTAGTGTTTTCACCAAATCTTCGAATTGTTGGTGAATAGAATGATGGGTATTCTGCAGCGCATGGTATTACGTGTTGTCAATAGCCTTTAGATTTTATTTCTAGTATTTGTCAGTGATCAGGCAGGCCATTTTATGTATGCCTACTTTTTCACCTTATTTGTGAGCAGATTGGTAGGTGAACCCACATATGATTTCTCAATAACCTCAGATTTTTCTCGAACAGTCTCAGGAGCGCAACCAAAAGCACAAAAAAATATCAACTAAGATATTCTTTAGTGTTACAGTCTAACCGAAAAAGATTTTTTCCTGTTGCTCTTTTTCTTCTAATGTATGTTCATTCACTGCAATAATTATTCGTGCCGTTATTATTTGTTTTACCTTCTGAAATATTCCGTTCATGTAGATTCTACACCAATGTTGAGAAATGGAGAAACTGGAGATTGGATTGGAACATTTGAAGGGCATAAAGGAGCCGTGTGGAGTTGTTGTCTGGATAAACATGCTCTCCGTGCTGCATCTGCATCTGCCGATTTCAGCGCGTATGTTATCTAGTGGCGTCATTTCATACTTTGGAAATAACCATTTAAGCGACCATATTTATATGCTGACATCTGTCATTAGAGAAGTGATGTTGAACAATAGAAGTGCTATTGTAGCACCTAGCATGTCATTAGTTAAAACAGGTTAAATAGCTAATCTAATATCAGACACAGCAGAATCTTGGTCATCCTTTTTTAGAATTTTCCCTTGCTATATATATTATCTTTTTGCTTTCTATATTGTGTTTTGTGTTGGTTGTTTTCAGGAAATTGTGGGATGCACTGACTGGAGATGTTTTACATTCATTTGATCACAAGCACATAGTTCGAGCATGTGCCTTTTCAGAGGTACCATTACAACCATTTCTCCTTTATTGTATAATAGTTCCTTCAGGTTAGAGATTTAGAACTTCAGTTAAGTCATAGTAACCAAATTGTGACAACGTAAACTCTGCTTATTTTGTTAGTTTAGAACGTCTGTGTTTGGGAGGAACTCGCTGGCACTATGGGATTGCAGATCTAAGTCGTTTCAAAGGATTGTGCTATGAAAGCCTGTGGCCATCTCTTGTATTACGATATGGATTTTAACAAAATACTGTGAATGTAACAGATACCATTATATGAAATCCAATTTTAGTTGAAGGATTACATGAAATCCCGTGTTCCAGTTGTAGTCCTATCCTTCTCAAGTTTTTTCATTTGTGTTTAAAGTTTGTCAATGCTCGTATACTCGCAATTGACCCCAAAATAATTGTTGATTGTTTCAATGAAAATAGAGAAGTCCCTGAAATTACCCGTACTAAATCAACTTAGGGGTTTGATAGAACATCTCATTTTTAAGATTAGTGTTTGTGCTAACTTGCGTGCACCTCGACTATTAAACCGGGTATTTTTCACCTCCCACTAGTAACTCTTTCAACCAATGTATGGACAGATTATCGTCTTTAGCCTCTGCCAGGATATAAATCTTGGTCTCCAATGGATTTCATCCCTCATTGATCGCTAGGCCACATCCTTGGGTTCTGATAGAAAACCTCCTTACTATAGCCTATGAAAAATAAAAAGCAGTGAATGCCAAGTTCAATTACTGCTGAGTCATTAGACGCTGCTTCAATTGGATGACAAAGATTTTTTTTGTGTTAAAAGAATATACATTGTTTAAGGTTCTGAGTAATCTTCTGTATTCAATCTCTTGTGTTTTGATAGTTTACACGAACTACTATTGTGTGATGACTTTGTAGGATACACATCTGCTACTCACTGGTGGTTTTGAAAAAATTCTTCGGATATATGATCTAAACCGAATTGATGCACCTCCAAGGGAAATTGACAGCTCTCCTGGTTCAGTTAGGACAGTTGCTTGGTTACACAGTGATCAAACTTTATTGAGTTCCTCTGGTGATGCAGGTGGATTGAGGTAGACCTTCAGAGTTTGATGACTCTGGTTGTACTGTTTTGTTCATTTCATTCTTTTTCTGGTTGTATTATTCACGTGGCCAGTGTTAACGGTCACTTAAAGTTATCGAGTAACTCTTCATCCCTTTTTTAATCTAGCGTTGCATTGATCAAAGCTCAGATGCTTGATAGATTGGATGCCATTTTGTTAACCTGTAGGTCACTTGGATTTGAATCTTGGCTTGTTGCAAAATTACCAGATAGCTATAAAGGCCACATATGGTTCATATTTCTGTCATGAACTTTCTCTTTCCCTGTGTATGAGTCCCTGGGCTGCAAGGGAATGCTAATTTCTTTCGCCACTTTCCTGCATCACTCTGTTCACTATCTTAATTTTGATCGAATTCTTGTAACCTAGGTTATGGGATGTGAGGAGTGGCAAAGTTGTTCAAACCCTTGAAACCAAGTTTCCTGTAACGAGTGCTGAAGTAAGTCAGGATGGTCGATACATAACAACAGCTGATGGTTCCTCTGTCAAGTTTTGGGATGCTAACCAGTAAGTATAATCTTTCATTCTTTACTGGCACAAAAAAACTGTGAATACAGATTTTTTCCATGGTTTACATTGCTTTTTAATCTTTTGTTCTAAAACAGCTTTGGATTGGTGAAGAGCTATGACCTATCCTGCAAAGTTGAATCTGCTTCATTGGAACCAAAGTTTGGTAATAGGTTCATTGCTGGAGGAGAAGATATGTGGGTTCATGTCTTTGATTTTCACACTGGAGAGGAAATTGGTAGGTGCTGTGGGTTCGTAAATGTTTAGAAATTTAGTTGCTTTGTAGTCCTGTTTATATATGCTCTGATCAATGTCTTTGTTTATGTGTTCCCTTTTACCAGTTATTTTTCCAGAATTTGCTTGCTCTTAACTTAACTAGGGGTTTATGCTTCTTTTTCTTATAAGTAGTTGGTTCAAGCTTTAACCATATTGTATATTCCCTCTTTCTACAACATAGGATGCAACAAGGGACACCATGGTCCTGTGCACTGTTTGCGGTTCTCTCCAGGAGGTGAATCCTATGCCTCAGGATCTGAAGATGGGACTATCAGAATATGGCAGCTTGGGCCACTTGGTCAGAATGAGGACAACTCCACAGCAAACGGGTCTATTTTAAATGCCAAGGATGACATGGGTGAGGTGACCCAAAAGATTGAGGAGTTGGATGTTTCAGAAGCAAAGAAGACTGAAGAGACACAGATCGATGGTGCGGTGGAGCAGGTTGCTGATGCCTAATTAGGAATTTAAGGGTTTTGTATGGTTTTGCCTCTTGGAAAGCTATGACTGGCTTGACTTCTGAGGTTTTTGCTTATGAAATAAAATTAAGCTTTTAAAAAGTGCTACGTATTGTTTGCTTGGCTGTGGTCACCTATCATCGTTTAAAATCTTTGGTGTGGTTCTCTCTGCAGAACTGAGGGTGGGCATATTTACGTAGTTCTCTTCCAAGTTTCATGTCGTCCTTGGACTTGAAATTGCTTTTAGAGCCTTAATAAGAAAAAGTAATATTGGGATAAGGCTATAACTCGAAGACATTACAAGCTTTAAAAATGCAGCGTTGTGCCTGTTTGTTTCAGTGAACAGCAGATTTGATACGGTAATGATTTGTCTTCGTGCATTGCTTGGATTTGAGATTCAATTATCTTTGGTAAAGAAACCTTCTCTGCTAAATAGTGTAATTACTGGCCGCCCTCATCTGTTTGTTTGGGGAAAAGAGGTTGGGAACCTGTAGTTTTTTAACCTAGGTTTGGGAGCTTTTAAGTGGGGTGTTTTTCGCTAATGTCAGTTGGGTTTGGTCAGGGTAATTGATTTGGGCAAAAATGATAATGTAGAAAATTAAGTGAAAGTTGAACGATTTTGTGGTTAGAAAACTAAGTTTGATCATTTTCCTCTAATTGTACTATAAGTTGAGGGATCTTCTGTGTTGATTTAATTAACCCGGTTTAGGGGAATGAGGATAAACTTTTAAGTTTTAACACGGTCAAACATTAAAAAATGACTCTTTTATCTTTTAAATGTCTTAATACAATGCTAAATATCTGCAATGCAGCATATGTCAACTGTAGACGAAATCAAAATGCTGGAATGCATATCACAGAACAGTGCAAAGAACTTCCTGCCAGATAAAAAGAAAATCTAACGCTCAATAAAATTTTCATCCATATATCCCTAGGGTCAACAATGGAATACTCTAGAACAGTGGACCCTATTTTCCGTACGCTGAGAGACTACAATACCTTCCTTGTGAATGGAATTAAGGAAAATTATCCTCCCAGAAAAACTTGACACACACAAAAGGTATCATCATAAGTGACCAAGTACATGTAATACTTCTTGACACGTCTAATGATCTGAAAATACCAATTGATCTTCCAGTCAATCATCGTTTCTCAGGAAAAAGAACACACATGAGGAGAAAGAGATGGAAAGTAATCCACCTTGGGGAAACTACTCAGAATTTTTCTGCTGAAAAGATGTACATAGAAAAGTTATCTCCACTCGTTGTGTGGCGGATAACAGAAACTAGTAAAACAAGCTTAAGAATCAGCGAAACTAAATCTAAAAGCTCTAAAGCAGAGCTCCAAACTATCAGCAAGACTACCTAAAGATGGGCTACCTTTCAAGTAACTCTAAAAAGAACAATACAAAATGATCTAAATATACAGGATGCCGCTTGACTTAACAGAGAGCACCCGATTGGTGTTGCAGCTGTTCAACTAAAATTCTATTGATGAACGGTAACATAGCAGCTAAGAATGCCTTCGGACATTCCTCATGCGGAAGATGACCACATCCCGATATTGCAACCAGTCTCTGTACGTTAAATAGATTTTACAAGTTAATAGCCTGAGCACCTTAAAAAATTATGCTTTTATCTGAAGCAATTTCACAAAATGTCGTTTCAATTTCATCCCTGGGAGGTATAAGTATCTTATTCGCTATACACATTCATTATGTGCATACAAGTCTACACCCAACAACACAGGATTTTCAACAAAATAAAGGTGTCATCCAAGACATCATGCAACAATTAGCAGCCAGAAAAGAAAATTAATACTAAGCAGTGATCTATATGTGCTTTCGTGCTGGGAGCTGAATTCTCTAATGTCTTTGGTGATTATCACTACATTGATGACTATTCTTGGGACATGATGGACTTTTTCAGTTTAACTTTCTCTTTCTAGATCAATGTTCAAGAATTGTATGGTAGCGGTAGTCCCATTTCTTCATCAGTTTCTTGTTGAATCAGTTCCATTCAATTTAGTCACAAACACAGGAACTTCTAAAAATTTCTCTGTAAGAGGTATATTACAGATTGGTTCCCATGGGAGTAAAATCATACATGAGGCAAGAATAATCATACTAGGTGGTGTTTGGTTTTGATATGTTCCGGACCGTGTAAAGAAAACAACTAAGTTACTAACTAAGGGCATAATCACTTGCACTGATCTAGATCAAGTAATTCAGCTTCTATTGTGAAAACCAATCCATATGACACAGAGTTAGATAATAACATACGATAGACTACAGCTGCAGAGATAGATATAAAGAACACCATAACTCACAGAATTCACAAGTTTTGAAGCCATAGCTTGAACAGACTTCAAAGGTACAAGTGCATCTTCAGCTCCCCCAATCACCAAAACTGGCAAGCTTTCAACTGCTTTCAGCAGTGCTGTGGCTTTTTCTGGGGAGAGGACTGTCTCATATGACTGCTTCCCTATCTCATGGAGTGCTTCATCCCAACCTTCCACACATAACGGTGCCTGATTATATACACAAGCAGAAAGGCTTAAGATTGGAATCTGATATATATATATAAAGAATGTAAATATATCGAAAGAAGGGACCTGAAAATTTCACAAAAGAAGAAAACAGGGAAACTGATAAAGCCCATAATATCTAATCCAATTGTAGGCGTCTTGTAACTTATGAAAAAAACTATAGGCATCTTACATGCCCAGAAGTGGCAAGAACTGTTTAGGGGGCAGTCTTCTAAAACTTTTCCACAATGGTTTCAGTTCATTCATAGCAAAAGTTGAACCCTCATAAACACTAGTTTTTCTGTGATATGAACCCATTAAGTTTTTCTTCCACATAAATATACATGTACTGGAAACTCTCCAAACAGGTACTTCTACAGTCCATCAATCTTTTCTTGGACAATTTTTCATCCCCGGGTACATATTAAATGATCCAGTTCATTATATGTATTCATGCTTTAGGAGCTTCTACAAGGTGTGATTATCTTCATTTTGCCTCTTTTTCTTTTACTTCCTAACTTCCACTCAAAAATTAATTATCACAAGTAGCACACTCAAAAGTCTAAATTGAGGAGGACTATGGTATCATCCATCCCAGAATACAGAAAAGCAGAACAAAATTTGCTTGAATTTGTAGACAGCAAATTAGATGTTTCTTGACAATTAAACAAAGAAAGTCTTTAGCACAATCAACATTTCAATCATAAGCAAGCATACCTTGTATAAGCTCAAAATGTCAGTCGTCAACTTGGTTGCGTCATACCATGCTCGTCTATTAACAACTTGAGTAATTTCCGTTCGCAAAAGAGGACGCACCAAGTGCTTTTTTCCGAGCGAAGTGCGTAATAATATTCTTGCTAAGGCAGGAACCATTTCTCTTGACAGGCTAACACCCAATAATACAATCCCCTTGATCTTAACCTAATATAGAAGGCAAAAATAGTTAAACAGTCAAAGCATGAACAACTATGCAATAAATTGGAGTGCATAGGTTTAAAACTGAGGGTACACAAGATTCCACATCATCCCCTTCAACGAGGACACTAAATGTATGTTTGGAAGAAAAGAAGTGGGCTACTGACATCTTTTCTCAAATTTGAATTGCAATTTTACCCGGTTTACAATTCATCCAAAGACGATAAGACTTATGCTAACTATACTTGTTAAAGCACACACCGTTATCACTCACATTAATAAAATTTGTGGATGACTGCACCCTTTGTGCAGCCTTTAGTGCAAGCAATCCACCATCGTCATGGCCAACAAGTACCACTGAAGTGAAACCCATCTCTGAGCAAAAAGACAGAAGCAGGTCAACCTGAAAAGTGAAAATTTAACTGTCAAAAATAAAAGCGAATAAATTTAAAAGGAAAACAACATCCCCGGTTGTCATCATTACGAGTATCTGTTTGAATGAAGGACAAATATAGCCCAACAATTAGACTCTCCAAGACTAATTGAAAAGGATCTTTTCAGATGCCATCTCTTTTCAAAGTCAAAGAAACTCCCTACATGTATACAATACATCATATGCATACACATATATACATAATATCCTAGAAATCAGAGCCCTGAATACTCTGTTAGTACATCATATGCATACACATACACATTTTCTGGTACTGCATTTAAATTGGTAACTCGCTGTTTATTTTCAATTCATTACTGTCACCTCTCTTGTTTGGTTTCGTGCTGAATTTAACTAAATAGTCATTGAAACATACGATTGAAAAGTGAGATGTTACCTGAGCATCAAGCGTGTAGGGATTAGGCAATTGATTCTCCTCCCAGTCTGCTCGGAAAGGCCTAGATGACAATCCCCATCCTGGCCTGTCAAAAGCAGTGACTGCACAACCTACCTGCTGAGCTAGTACTCCCATCACATTTCTCCAAGAGAAGACCCCGCCACCAAAACCATGCACCAGAACAATTCCAAACTGATCATTATCTTCCAGATCTCGTATAGACAGAGGAGACCCCGACCCATGAACTGCATCTCCATCACCAACTTCATCTAGGTTGAGACTAGGCATTTCTTCAGACAGGATGGAGGGAGTTTGAAAACCATCTAATAAAGGTGTGGATAGACAGTTCGCAAGAAACTGACTACTGTAGCTCCTCCGGATACAATAATCCGAATTTGATAAAAGATTTAATGGCCTGTCAACACGGGGTGTGGAGGACAAGGAACGGCAAGGTGATCCAGGCAACCTAAGTTTGTAATGAAGAGTAACCCCTAAGCAAGAGATGAATAAGCTGTCAACATCAGCAAGCAGTTTGGCAGGAATTTCCCCTTCCTCACGAGCTGAGCCAGCAAGTTTCCTCATTTCACTATTACATTTTGATGCTTTCCCAGCGGAAGGAGTTGGAGACCGTGGAACCTTATGGTATGCAGAGAAGACAACTTTACAAGGAAGCACCTGTTATTTCAGAAAAAAGAACTGTTACAAACTTATAGGTTCCACTAAATTGCATCTTCTGAAGAGCAATGAGAAATCAATAAAACCAACAGCACTGATTACCTTCACATTTTAACATTATCATTGATAAATCACAAAAATGAACCATTGGCACCGTGTCATCAATGAATTCAGGGGTGGAGCTAGGTAGGAATAAGGGGTTTCAATTGAATCCCCTCCATCAAAAAATTATATTGCGCAAATAGAGAAAAGTGAGTTTTTTTTATTTGTTAGTATATATGAACTGTTGAATCCCTCAATATAAGAAAAAATTCTAGTCTAGTGGCAAAGATGGCTTCAAAAATTAATTTTGGTGACAGTTTCAATCCGAAGTGCGACATTTTAATGTCTTTTGTAATCCCCGTGTATAAATTTCTGGCTCCGCCAGTGAATGAACTAAATGTATCCAAGAAATAAAGGAAACCAGAAGGGGGAAAACATAACAACTTACAGCTTCGGGGTCAACTCGGTGAAATAAGAGCTTCCTCCTAGCTCGACAGCTTGTTCTATAGGCAACAACAGTATGTCCAATAGCAAACACTACAGATGATAGAAACAACACAGGCATCCCCCATGACTTTTTCAAATGAAGCTTTTGCTTTGAGATAGCAGATGAAGCTTCAGCTTCAGCCTCGAGGTATGAATTGACAGAGAAAACACAAGCCTTTACGGAAAGAAGAACAATGGATATAAATGAACAGAATGTAACAGTCCCGAGATATGGTCCATGTGAGAGACCAGGTCCATCACACAGAGAATAAACACCTATCATCACAGAACAATAACAAGTTAGAACGAATTCCAATTTGAATCACAACATCAAGACATTTGGAACTAATACTTAAAACAGCAAAAAAATATATTTCATCAATTGTTTATTATCCGTTTCAGCACTTCTATTCAAATGCTGCTTATTTTATATAATCAGTTTCTTTCAGAAATTAAGTATCAACTACTTGCGCTCAGCTAACTCAGGCGGGCTCAAAAATTGAAAGGGAAGTAGTAACTAAGCACGTACATGTGATGAGAAGAGATCTCAGAATGGAAACGAGAGGAATATCGGTCAAGGAAGTTTTGAAGGCATATCGTTGCAAATGCTCCTTGAAACTGTAACACCTTACGCACGTGAAGCTTGAAATCAATACGCTCGGTACCAGTACATCCCCTAGTATCACCATCACCGGCGCCGATAGCATCAGCAGCGACGCTAACATCGCCGCCATGAAATATATAGTCCTCAAACATCTCCTTACTTTCTCCAGCATCTTCCACATTAAGGCCATCCGTAATTCCAATTACTGATGCTAATTACAAAACAAGTTAAGGTCCGATTTGGTGAATAATAAATTGTAGAGGAAATGAAATTATATATATAGAGAATAAAACCGGAGGAGGCGGCGGCTCAAGGCCCATCTCACGGCAGCGAATAAAGCCGTTTTCCGGCTAGGTTTTCAGTTAAGGAAAATGCAGTTTACTTTGCTTTCTATAAGAGCAGAGAAATTTAAACAGAGGCCGAGGCGGACTGGAGTTGTCGCCGGAGTTTTTGTGCTCTCTCACTTTCTTTCTTTCTTTTTTTTTTTTCCTTTCGTCGAGTTTTATTTCTTTCTTATTTCCCCTTTACCCCTTTTATTTAAGGGAAATGAAATAACGATATGCTTTATTTTTTTCGGTTACTTGAATTTTTCTTTTCTTTTACACCATTAACAGGGAAATTAGACAAGTCTAATTAGACAATGGTAACCAAATGTCAAGGAATGTTAGAATTATTTGGGCAAAGATCACTTTTAGTCCGCGATAGAAATTATTTATATTTAGTAGCTGCAAAAATATATAAAATTCGTATATGTTTTTAGTGTATAATACACATATATATTGCTTTTATTTTGAGAACGTCTATATGGCATCATTTTCCTATTTTTTTTATAACGGCAATTCAATAAGTTCGACGTGCACCTTTCTATGTATTTATTATCTCACACCAGTATAAACTACACATATAAAATTAGTTTTGTTTGTGGCATCTCCATTATTGAAGGATTATACATTTACTTATATGGACTTCTTTGTTATTATTATACGTTTTTAATGATGGGGAGCTTGTGGATAATGAAAGTAAGGAAGATAAAAAAAAATGTCTTAATTTAAAAAATCTTTTCATTGGCAATGCTAGGTTGGAAAAACAAAAATTAAAGAAAAAGTTGGCACAGCTGGAATTCGTTACAAGTGGGCCATTTACCTACCTGGCAGCTTTTTTCTGTATACTGGCGTTGCCATTATCTCTCGTACTCGTATCTTTTGTGCATCCCAAAGATTGTGCGTGCATATTTTTTTCCTTCACATCCTCTCCTTTTTTACTTTCTTCTTTCTTCGACCAGAATTTTTGAATTTTCTAGCAATTTAGTAGGTGTTTGAACATAAATTATAATTTTTTTTAAAAAAAGTATTTGGAGTTAAATTGAAAAATAATATTTAAAATTTAAAGTTATGTTTCGACATGCATTTACTAGAAAAAATATTACAATTGTGTAAGTGAGGAAATTTTTTTTAAAAGTTTTGAAAAACAATTTGGGTTTTGAAAAAAAAAATTACAATTTGGTTTTGAAAAACTCATTTTCAAAAAAATTTTAAAAACTTGTAAAATTTGATGGACAAACATATTTTTTTTAAAAAAAAATCAAAAAAAGAAAAACTTTATTTTGGGAAAACGGGTCCTTAGTGTTGGATTTTAAGTATATGCTTAGAAGAGAGTGAATGAGAAATGAAGGGAAAATAAAATATTTGAGTTTCATTTGAGATTCTCTCCTTGACGAAGGAATATTGTCCCATATTGGAAAAGGAAGAAGTTTTTAATGGGTATATAAGCAATTACTCTTCTTCTAGCTCTTAAAGAGTTGAGAAGAAGGCAAGCCTCGCGCCGTCGTCGCTCAGCTTCGGCTTCGGTCAATTGATTGATTGATTAATTTTTTGAAATTAATATTAAATCCAAGAATATTAATATTAAAATCCAACTGTTTCCATTTTCAGTTTTCTGTTTGGTAACAGAAAATTAACTACCCTCTTCAATTTTCCCTCTTTGTTGTTGAGTAAATAGTCATTTATGTTGTGGCCGTTTTGCATAAACAGTCATTCTAAAGAGTTGCACCTCTTCAGATTTCAGCCCAACATTGGCTATAAATACAAGTCCATTCTCTCAGATTTTCCATACGATTTCTGAGTTTCTCCTTCTTCTTCTGCGTTGTTTTAACTTCACAGAAAGCAACAGTAAGTGTGATTTGCTACCGAACTTTATGTTCGCTGAAACACTAGGGTTTGAATTAATTTTTTGTTTCGTTTATATTTTTATTTATGTTATTTTATCTTTTCCAGAATTAGTTTACAAATACAGTTTACTAACAAGCTTAAGGAATTTAATTTGTATTCTGTATTTGTGTTATATTCACTATTTTAGAGTTTAAAACCTTTGTTGTTTTTTACTCCGTTAGAGATTAAAATCTACGTAATTTTAATGTTTGTTTGTGTTATTCTTTTACAGAAATGACTAATGATAACGGGAACCGGACTGTTCCAATGGTGACTGCCAATGCATCAACAAGCCGAACACTAGCGTTGGCACCGACGGAGAAACCCAATTTTCGGGTTAGATTTCAAGCGGTGGCAGCAGAAGATGTTCTTCTACTTGACTACTTTAAGTCTGTAGAAGTTCATCAAGGAAGATGTTCCAGTTGTGCCCGATGAAACTCCAGAGAATGAACGTTTTCTCGTGATTGAGGCGTGGAAACATTCTGATTTTCTGTGCAAGAATTATGTTCTTAGTGGACTGGAGGACGATTTGTATAATGTCTACTGTGGCGTGGAGACGTTAAAAGAATTGTGGACTGTGCTTGAAAAGAAATACAAAGTTGAAGATGTCAGGTTGAAGAAATTCGTTGCCGCCAAGTTTTTGGACTACAAAATAGTAGATAGCAAGTCTGTTATTACCCAAGTCCAAGAATTGCAAGTGAGTATTCACGATCTCCTTGCTAAAGGTATAAATCAAATTAATACTGATGTTGAAAGTAGTAATCTTAGTATTTTTACTAATAGAATTTTTATTGAAGGTCATGTCATCAATGAAGCATTCCAAGTAGCAGCGATGATTGAGAAGTTGCCTCTTTTGTGGAAAGACTTCAAAAACTACTTGAAACACAAATGCAAGGAGATGTCCCTTGAAAATCTCATTGTTCAGTTGAGAATTAAAGAGGACAACAAAGCTGCTGAAAAAAAGGCCGTAGAAACTCAACAATAATAGGAGTAAACATTGTTGAGGATACTTCTCAAAATAAGAGAAAGAGGAAGCAGGCTTTTGGACCGAAAAGCAACCCAAGCAAGAAGCGGTTCAACAAAAATTGCTACAACTGTGGGAAAGCTGGGCACAAATCTACAGAGTGTCGTGCTCCGAAGAAAGACAAGAAGAAGGGTCAAGCAAACATGGTTGAAAAGCATAAAAATGTTGATGACTTGTGTGTTATCCTTTCGGAATGCAACTTGGTGGGAAATCCTAAGGAGTGGTAGATTGATTCTGGAGCCACTTGTCATGTTTGTGCTATCAGGGAAGCCTTTGTAACATATGCTCTGATTGGACCCGAAGAGACTCTTTCTATGGGAAATGTTGCAACCGCCAAGATTGAAGGATGTGGGAAGATCTTTCTGAAGATGACTTATAGCAAGGTGGTGACTTTGAACAACATCCTTCATGTTCCCGAGATAAGGAAGAATTTAATCTCAGCTAGACTTCTTGTTAAGAATAGTTTTAAATGTGTTTTTGTATCCGATAAGGTTGTAATAAGTAAGCACGAAATGTTTGTAGGAAAAGGTTACATCACTGAGGGCCTTTTCAAGCTGAATGTAATGGTTGTTGAGAATAATAATAAAATTTCAGCTTTGTCTTACTTACTTGAGTCAAATGAATTATGTCATATATGTTTGGGTCATGTTAATTATAAAACCTTGCGAAAAATGATTAATTTGGAAGTATTGCCTAAGTTTGAATGCGACAAATCGAAATGTCAAGTATGTGTGAAATCTAAGTATGTTAAACATCCTTATAAGTCAATTGAAAGGAATTCAAATCCTTTAGACTTAATTTACACAGATATCTGTGTGTGACGACCCAAAGGGTCATCACTTGCTTTCAGTTGATTTCTATGTCTCCAAGGCCTTGAAAACCTCATTAGAGTTGCCTCTATTTGCGTGCGCAGTCCGGGCGCGTAGCCGGAAAGCTTAAATATGAAACTCTGTGAAAAATGCTAAGTTTTGATGTTAAAATGAATAAATTTAACTTCGGTCAAAATTTTAGGTAAACGGACCCGGATCCGTGATTCGATAATCCCAGAGGGTCCGTAGGAAAATATGGGACTTGGGCGTATGCCCGGAATCGAATTCCGAGGTCCCAAGCCCGAGAAATGAATTTTTAAGTGAAATTGTTTTCATAAATTGTTTAAGGAAAATTTGAAATAAAAATTGATTAGAAAGCAATGGTATCTGGCCCATATTTTGATTCTGGCACCCGGTACAGGTCTTATACATGACACGAGTCATTCATGCGAAATTTGGTTGAAAACGGACGTCGTTTGACGCGATCCGGACCTAAATTGAGAAATTTGATGTTTAAAAGAGTTTTGAGAAATATCATNCCCGCGGTAAAAGCTGTGCGGCCGCAGTCGCCTTTGTGCGGTCTGCACAGGGTGCTGAACTGCAGGTCTTCAGGGAGAGGCCAGCGCGGCCGCGGTCGCCTTTATGCGGTCCGCGGTGGAGGCTGTGCGGTCGCAGTCCATTTGATGCGGTCCGCACTGGGGGTCTGAGAGGGGTATAAATAAATGGAATTTTCAGTTATTTTTCACTTTTCAAAACCCCAAAAAACATAAGAGACGATTTTTCAAACAACCTTTCTTTTCCAAAAATATTGGTAAGTGATTTCTAACTCATTTTCTTCACTCCTTAACATCTTTTAACATGATTTCAACTTCAAATCAATGATTTTCATGGGAGAAATTAGGTGTTTTGGGTAGAACCTAGGTTTTTCTAAAATTGGGGATTTGGACCTCAATTTGAGGTCCAATTTCAAAACAAATTATATATTTGGATTCGTGGGGGAATGGGTAATCGGGTTTTGGTTCAAACCTCGGGTTTCGACCACGTGGGCCCAGGGGTGATTTTTGACTTTTGGGTAAAACTTTGGAAAACTCATTTTCATGCATTGGGGTTGATTCATTTAGCACTTATTGATATAATTAAATAACTTGTGACTAGATTCGAGCGGATTGGTGGTGGAATCAAGGGGTAAACCTATAATTGAGACTTGATTGTTGTTCAAGGCATCGAGGTAAGTGTTTGGTCTAACCCTAGTTTGAGGGATTAGGAGTTGAGTCATATTTGCCACTTGCTTCTTGTTGAGTACGACGTATAGGTATGGTGACGAGTATCTATACGTTGGTGTCAAGCATGACCGTAGGTCTTAAATTGAAAGTTGTTGTGTTCTTGAATGACACTTTGTATGCTTTACTTAATGATCTTCTATGATTGAGCAATTTTCGATAATTGA